GCCGGCCCGTCCGGGGAGGGAGGCCACAGGTGCCTCGGCGTTCAAGGCCCTCCCTCCCCGGGGTCCCCTGTCCCACCACCGGTGACGGCTCCCCCTGGGTCCCTGGGCAAGCCGGCACGCCTGGCGGCGCCCCAGGTCCCTCCCATCTTGTGTCCCAGCACAAGCTGTACCTCCCGCTGGAGCAGCATCCCTGCTCCCCTCAATGTCCCAGCAGGGATCCTGGCGCTGCCAAACCCGGCTGCCCCCTGAGCGTGCAGCCTGGGTGGGGGCTGGGGGCTGCGGGGTGGCGCAGTCCTGGTAAAATAGGCCTTGGGGGCAAGTCCGTCTGAGCCCCTCTTGCCCCAGAGCTGAGACCTCAGGCTCCTGGAGTACATCCTTGGGTCACAGAGCTGGGGGCCTTCCTTCCCACCTCCATGGGGGCAGGGCCTCGCTAAGGGGCCCCTGCTACTCTTCCGCCTTGGGCTTCTCAACACCCCCAGACTGATGCTCTGCAGTTGCCCTCCAGCCCTCCCTCTGGCCAGCTGGGGGATTTCCCGCCTCCCCCAGAGCCCCAGAACCCCAGAGCCCCAGAGTGGGCCCTGTGTACCGGCGGGCGGGCAGGTTTGTCATCGGAATGGCAGATGGAAGGGGGCCCACAGAGGGTGTCCAGGTCACAGTGAGTGATACTGCCTTAGGAAAGAGCCTCCTGCTCCCCCCCCCCTCGAGGCTCCAACCTAGGACTCCAACCAGGGTCCCCTGGGAGAGTGGACCCAGACACCCTCCTTTGGGGGAGTTTCCGTCTATGAAACACAGGAGCAAGTGGGCCCAGCCAGTGTCAAGTCTGAGCCCTAGATGTCTGGAATCACCTACAGCACCACCTGGCTAACTGCACCCCCAGATGCAAGAGCAGCCCTGAAAAGAATCTTCTCCTGCCTTCCCAAGGGGGCCCGATAAGGAGGCAGGGATGGGGTACGGCTGTAGGAGCTGCTGGGGGTTGGGGTCCCCGGGGTGATGGCAAGCCAGACAGGAGGGTCAGCCTCCCCTCCAGAGCGCTGGGTTTCCCAGGACCTCAGAGCCCACTTTCCCTCTGCCTGCCCTATGGGCTACTCAGTCCACAGCTC